GGGGGGGGGGGGGGTACTTGGTCTGTGGTCTCAAGCCTCCGAGGTGACCTCCCGAAATGCCTTATTAATGAGAAATTGGTTCCCCAGATTTCACCATATACAGATAGTCCCCGCATTTCTTAGAAAGAAGTGACAAGAAATAATTTTGACATCCTACTCTTCGGGCTTCCCGTAATGACGTCGCACTGATGACACAAGCTTCCATGATTACCGAAACGTTTTGTGATTTCACTTTTCCAGGATCATTTAATGCATTGCGGTTTCTCATTCTTTAAAGCCATAATGTCGCCGTCGATTCAGCTCCCATGGACGCATTTAATGCGCCTGTCGTTACATTTTTCGAGGGCAATAATAGCGTCGTCGGTTACGTTACCCCTCTTTCTATAAATGGGAGTTTCCTAGGATCAGCCTTTTACCCAAATATCTTTCCATACCTATCCATTCCTCCTTTCTCATTATCTTTATTCTTTGTCGTTCACCATGTTTGGGGCCCATGGCCTCAAGATTTTATGGCGATATCGGGCATGCAATGGCCTATCTCATGGACCTTCTCTGGTCGAGCGAGATTATGCTATTTTTTTATTGTTGTTGTTGTTATCATCTCCATCGGCTTGGGACGACGAAGTAGAGGGACGATTCCCTCCGACCAAGGAAATATTTGGATCATACACCACTACTGAAGAGGGGGCTCAGATTATACACCGCTGCTCACCCTCCTCCCCCAGCTTGGCACATTACACCCTTTTTAGATTTCTTGGGGTGTGGCGGCACTGTCTTCTAACTGTTGCCTCCCATGCCGGGGCAACATCTCAAGAAGTGGCTTTTCAGTAATAGCCTGGCGAAATCCATACTAGCTAGATTTTTCACCCAACCACTTCTTCATTCCTTCCTACCTTTTCCGCGTCACTTTACTCTTCTCCATCGATTTTCCCTTCGTCTTCTCTCCTTTTGAAGATGCCATTCAGGGGAATCGAGATAAGACTCCCGAGGGGATTGCGCTTGGAAGATATTGTCTTTGAGGACGCGTGCTTGAGGAGATGATAGCGAAAATGTTGCTATTGAGGACACACCTTTGAGAATAGGTTAGGTTCTTAGGTTTTTATTGTATGTACACTCTTCTGCTTCTTTGTTCCAATGTAAGGACCCCTCGTGGGCTTTTGTAATCATATGTAAGGACCCATTGTGGGATTTTGTAATGGAATATTTCATGAATACAAAGATTTTTTCCCAATTTGTCTTCGATGCATGCGACATTCTTTTATGTTTGTGGAGACTCCGAATGCATGACCCTGTCTGTTGTTGCTAATACCGAACCCGGATGCGAGTATACCTTCCGCCTTTGGTTGATAAAAACGGCTTCGTGCAGAATCCTTTGTGATCCCTTGGATCGAACCTAAATAGGGTCGATAGACTCAGGTCGCCGGGACCTTGACTTCGAGTAAAATGAGAATAATGTTTTGGGCCTTGGAATCGTGACTTACTAGTTAAACTCCGTCATAACCTTTGAAAAGAAATTTGCTCGGGGGCCCGTGGACAGGGGCTGCCTTTGATCTCTTGAGGGCAGTCCCCGAGCGAAGATTCATTCAAATTCGGACCACCTGGAAACACGCTCTGGGCTTAGTGTGAATATCTTTATGGTGTTGTAGATAGATTTTGAAAGAGGGTTTGTTCGATCTTGGACGGTACCCGGGGCTAAGCCCATACGGGTGGAGCTCAAATGCTTGTTTCTTTGGAGCCTGATTCCCTTTTGACAAAAATCCCCCGAGGTCGAGTATCACCTCGGTTCTTGTCATGATGCTATTAGCTTCCTGGAGCCTACACTTCCCTTTGATGGAGATCCTCGAGTTTGGGTACCACCTCGGTGTTGGCGAAGGCGTCATCAGCTCCCTGGAGCCTAGCCTTGTATTGATGGAGGTCCTCGAGGTCGGGTACCACCTCGGGACTGGAGAGGGTGTTATCAGTTAGTGTTCTTAACCGGCTTTGAGGAAGGCGAATCGTCGCCGTTTTTTCCACATATAAATAGGGTTGTTTCTGCCTTTTCAGGGGTTACCCCATTTTAAGCAGTTGTCCTTCTCTTTCTGTGCCAGCCCTTCGGCACTCTAGCACTAATGCGTCTGCACATATTCCTGCTTTTTTGTTCTCTAATTTTGTGACCGCCACGACAACTACTGTCCGACAGGGAGGGGAGAGCTCCGCCTCTAGTCTTCAGGACCATCGAGGTCTGCTAACTTTGCGGTGTCGATCAACTACGCCCTTTGTTGTTGTTGTCGAGGAAAACGGAGACCGAGTATGGATGAGTCGCTTCATCTGCGTGCGGACCGCTGACATTGTACCCGAGGAGTTTATTCCATTCACTGAGGAATGGAGCTATACTCGTAAGTGGTGCATCTCGTGCTTTATCAGTTCTGTTTATGACGAAAGCTGGTTTCGTAATCATGCCTTCCTCTCTTCCTCTGCAGTGATTTCACGGGCACCGGGCGACGTTCATGATCTGCTGGACTGGGTCCGAGAATTGGCGGCCCACTCGACCTGTGAGGAAAGTGAGCAGCGAGCTTTGTCCCGGGGTAGGTGGGAAGCAAAATATCATGGTGAGTGTTGTGCTATTCCTTCCTTGCTATCACCCTCCTTTTCTATTGACGACATTTCGGGAGATACTAGAAACCCGTGGTCATATACACCGAGTGACCGTGCTTCAACCAGAGCAGTCATTTTTAGGGCCGAAGGGACTGGATTGGCAGGTGTGCGTTCGGCCTTCGAGGAAGCCCAACGACTTTACTTTGCGGTGAGTTTCGGTACAGGTTTTTCGGGCTTTGCGCCTTCCTTTCCTTA